GTCCCAAGTTTGATTCCAGTGAAAAGCACATGCCTGGGCTGCAGGCTCGATCCCAGTAGGGGGTGTGCTGGAGGCAGCTGATCAATCAATCAACGATTCTTTGATGTTTCTATCTCTCCCTCTCCCTTCCTCTCTAAAATCAATATACTTATATTTTTTAAAATAAATAAATGATGCACATGCAAAGCAGACTCCATCACTTTCATAGTTCAAAACTTTCAATGACTTCCCATTCTCTGATGTTAAAATGTAGTCTTCTCAACACAGCCTTCAAGGCCCTCTCTATCCTGAGCTTTGTCTGCTTCTCCAGCCTGCCCCCCTACACCACACACACACACACACACACACACACACACTCTCACACACTATTTCAAACCTCTATGCCATTGCTCACACTGTCCCCTCTGCCTAGAATACCTGTCCTGGTTGGGTGTCCTTCCTCTCCTCATCCACCCTCACATTTAACACAGTTTTCTTATCTGTTTACATGCCTTTCTCTCCTGATGGAGGACAGGGACCCTGGGTCTTGCCATTATCTTCCAGCTATTAGTGTAGGGCCTGGCAAGCAATCAAGGTCAATAAAATATCTGTGCTGGATGAGTGCATGTGGTGTGGAGGCAACAACCAGAGGGCCAGCCTGGGCTGGAGGGAGAAACTGAGGCTAAGCGGTTACCAGCGTCTCATTCCTCACAGTGGCAGAGCTGGCTGGATATCAAAACCCACCTCACCCCACCTCCACCATGAGCTGCTACTGAGCAACAACATGAATTCCCCGGGGTATCAGTTCTCCTAAAGATGGAATCTGAGTTTCCAGATACGGATCTTCTGAGTCCTCGGGCATGGGAGGCAATAGCGGCACAACTCCACAGATTGAGGAAATAAAACCTCAGGCATGGGCTGCAAGAGATTGTCATACACACAGATTTTCTCAGATCTCTGAGCTGGATTTTCTTTATCCCTTTTCAGTGGTTTTCAACCTTCTGGCCTTTAAATACAGTTCCTCATGTTGTGTCCCAACCATAAAATTATTTTCGTTGCTACTGTTATGAATCGTCATGTAAATATCTGATATGCAGGATGGTCTTAGACGACCCCTGTGAAAGGGTCATTCGATCGCCAAAGGGGTCGCGACCCACAGGTTGAGAACCGCTGCCATAGAGGCTGCTGTCATGAAGGCAAATGCTCGCTACAAGAGGGGGAGACCCACTACAAGAGGGGGAGACCCGGTGTGTCTTACCAACTGGGTTGGTTGGTTTGTTTTCTCCCCCAAATAAAATCAGATTCTCTTCTGCGTGCACGTGTGTGCATGCGTGTGCGTGTGTGTGTGTGTGTGTGTGTGTGTGATTCTATCAGGCTTCCATCGGAGGTGTTACAGCCACCACTGAACTGCTCCGCGCTCACGCGGGGCCAGACCCCCGAAGTCTAACACCACGGTCACACCTGACTCCATAGACTTACTCCCACGCCACACGCGAGGGCCCAGGCTCAGGGAGGGAGGAAGCCGCTCACGCCCCAGCCCCGGGCGGGCAGAGCTTTGCTCTGCAGGTAGGGCTGGCTTTGAATAAAGGCGCTGCTTCTTTAACCGTCTGGGCCAGTGGCTTTATCTCCAGCCCCTCGCAGCTGCGGAGACTGTAAGGCCTGGAAATAGGCTCCTTTAGTCAGCATGGGTGCAGTCGGGTTTCCCGGGGAGCCTTAGCTTACCCAAGGGCGTGTGCTGGGCCCCAAGGGCATATGCTGGACCCCAAAGGCGTGTGCTGGACCACAAGGGCATGTGCTGGGCCCCAAAGGCGTGTGCTGGGCCCCAAGGGCGTGTGCTGGGCCCCAAGGGCATGTGCTGGGCCCCAAGGGCGTGTGCTGGACCATCAGGGCGTGTGCTGGGCCCCAAGGGCGTGTGCTGGGCCCCAAGGGCGTGTGCTGGGCCCCAAGGGCGTGTGCTGTACCCCAGGGGGTGTGCTGGGTCCCAGGGCGGATGCTGTGGACCCATCAACGCTGCCATCTGTGCGGGTAACAACGCTGTGTTCCTCCTGAGATCATTCATTTGTAAAGTGCAGGGACTCTCGGTGGACCACGGTGAGGACTGAGCCTCGGTGGTCCATTTTCAACACATCTCACCCAACATGGGAAATACTGAGCGCCCGTTTGCTTAACTGGGTTAATGCAACTGGGAAGTCCGGGAACAAACAGAGTATGGGGGGGGGGGGGCGGCAGGTAGAGAGGACAGATTGCAATAAAGGAGGAAGCGCATATCCCAGGAAGACCTTCTGCCGCCGCAAAGAGACAAGGGGGAGACGGAGAACACCCAAAAAGCCCACAG